CCCCACATTGACAAAGGCTCCGGCCGAAAACCCCTAAAAGAGTCAAGAAAAAAGTGGGAGGTGAGAGCTTGGATTCGACAGAGGTGCCCGGCTCAGCCCCTCCTGCTTTGTTGGGTTCATCGCGATCAGAGGCGAGATGCCCGAAACACCTCAACCCTCTCCATGTTCATGCCCATGCCACATACCGCTGCTGCTCAAGTAGTATCTCCTCCCGTCACCACGAGAATCACAGCCTCGACCGCCAATTGATTGATGCTCGGCACCGACAGCTTGCCATCACGAGCCTTTGCGCCGACCCTCTCCCCACACGCGACTCGGCAAGCAGCAGGCCACCAGCAGCCGCTGTCACACGAGCCATCATCACCATGTCGCCCGTCATTGTCGATGACGGCTCTGCCATAGAGGACGTCGCGTCGGACCAGCACCAGGCCACACAGACATCAACGACAGAAGCACCTCTTACGGGCAGGCCCAGGACGATGACGACAACCGAAGAGATCGACAGCACCATCATCCGTCCGGGTTCGGTGCGCATCAACGTTAAGGGCGCCTTCATCGTCGACCCAGACTCGAGCTCCCCGAAAGACCCTGCCGCCGCCGCCACTGGCAGGATATCGCCCACACATCACGAAACGAGCGACATTCGTCTGCCGAACCACACGGCTGTCGTGAGCCATATTGCTGTCGACGTATGAAAGAATAACCCCCCCCCCTCCCCCTTCCCTTCCTCCCACTGCCCCTCGGCTGGGACAGCCTCGGCTCCGAACCCAGTCCTTGCGCCGCTCGCTGCCGTGCGCTTGGCCCCCGTCCCACTGCCCAGTCACGAGAACACACACACACAAAATGGCGGGAACAAAGAGCTGACCGCACGGTGTTGTCCAGATCGGCGGCTCCCTCATCAAGCTCGTCTACTTCTCTCGTGAGGCCCACTCGAAAGAGCCCGGCGGCCGCCTCAACTTCCTCAACTTTGAAACCGACCGCATAGACGACTGCATAGAATTCATGCGCCACCTCAAGGACAAGCAGCAGACGCTCAATGGATCACAACCTGGCGCCCTCAGCGTCATGGCCACGGGCGGTGGCGCCTTCAAGTTCTACGACAAGATCAGGCATGTCCTGGGCGTCGACGTCTTGCGCGAGGACGAGATGGAGTGCCTCATCATTGGCCTCGACTTCTTCATCACCGAAATTCCCCGCGAAGTCTTCACCTACAGCGAGACGGACCCCATGCACTTTGCCTCGCCCTCCGACGACATCTATCCCTACCTGCTCGTCAACATTGGCTCCGGCGTCTCCATGCTCAAGGTCTCGGGCCCCCGTCAGTACCAGCGCGTCGGCGGCACCTCCCTCGGCGGCGGGACTCTCTGGGGTCTCCTCTCCCTGCTGACCGGCGCCCGCTCCTTCGACGACATGCTCGATGCTGCCGAGCGCGGCGACAACTCCAAGGTTGACATGCTCGTCGGCGACATCTACGGCACCGACTACGGCAAGATCGGCCTCAAGAGCACGACCATCGCCTCCTCCTTTGGCAAGGTCTTCCGCATGAAGCGCGAGGCCGAACACGAGGCCGAGGACCACGGCGGCCTGCACAACGGCGACTCGTCGGCCGCCGCCAGCGACGCCGCCCGCCACCCGCTCGACGCCGAGCACGACGCCGCCCACGCGGCGCCGTTCTCGGGCGGCGACATCTCGCGCTCGCTCCTGTACGCCATCTCCAACAACATCGGCCAGATCGCCTACCTGCAGTCCCAGATCCACAACCTGTCGCACATATACTTTGGCGGCTCCTTCATCCGCGGCCACCGCCAGACCATCAACACGCTCTCCTACGCCATCAAGTTCTGGTCCCAGGGCGCCAAGCAGGCCTACTTTCTCCGCCACGAGGGCTACCTCGGCGCCGTCGGCGC